GGTTGGGTGAGCCACTTTGCATACGTAAAAAGTTGCAAAATTCGAAGTCACAGTAGTCCTATAATGTCATAAGAGCCCGTAAGAGCACAGAGAACATCAAAATTGGCGTGATTGAAAGAATTCACTTCGAGTTGCCCGCAACACCACGTATGGAGGATTGGGTCCTGGTGCGAAGCGAGGTGCAGGGTCATCTCGCTTACAGCTCCTATACTGCTGCATTCGCCGCTAAATAGAAGTAGCGCTCTACACCCGTGTGTTGAACATTCAACTCAGGGAGGAGGTTTTCGCTCATATTCCCTTCATTGGCGACGCCCTCTCTAAGCTGTACCAGTTTTGATATCGCTTAAAAGCAAAGCCCGCGATCATTCGCCATCAGAGATAGTGAGTTAGGGGTTTGCATATAGACGACAAGTTGCTGAGTAACTCGATAGTGAAGAAAAGCAAGATAAACATGCCAACTGCCCTAGATAAAACCTGAATTCCGATCCCAGTTTGTACGTGCCCAATGAACTCCATTTCCAACATTACGCCCTCATCCGCACAGCTGATTCCCCGATGAGATTTCTACGACCGAACGATCTTTTTCTTCCCGCAGCTCCAGTGAAAGACGGACACTGAAGGCGGAATCTGGAGGCGGAGTCACTGGAAAAAAGGAGGCCTCACTGGACCTATATTGCGTTGTAGCGCTTCCCTTACAGTTTTCCCTTACAGTCGCAAAATCGGTATAAGGTTGTTCCGCGAGCCACCTTACCCTCCCGAAGCCATATTTTCAACTTCTATCCCTGATCACGGTCGGTGCCTCTTTGTGCGCTATCCATTTCTATGTTACCAGATTGGCTGACGCGCACTACTGCGCGCATGGTTCAGTCTGTGGTCCTGATCAATGACAGGATTTCTGTGCTGACCCCTAACACTTGGCCTGATTCCCATGTTTCAAAATTTGGCGCATCTCATCATATTTCCACCAGTCGGCTCGCCGGCTAACGCCGGCGCGCCTCCTTCTGATACGGCCCGGCTGCGCCGGGCGGGCGCGGCTTCGCCGCGCGTATTTTCTTTCACATATTTCTAGACTCAACTGATATCCGCCTTTTGTTCTGTACTCCACTTTTTTCCGGTGTCTGAAGTACTCTTGAGCTATTTTACAGATTCTTCGTCTGACTCCGCCCACCTCGGAGCAGGCTCCGCCCACAATTTTTGTGCCCCACAATCCTCACCCCTCTGCTGACCTTAATCCACTTTTTTCCGGTCTTCGGAGTGCTCTGGGACAGTTTTAGAGAATTTTCGTCTGGCTCCGCCCACCTCGGGCTGGCCCCGCCCACAATATGTATACCCCACATTTCTCAATCGGCGACCCCTTGCTGACCTGCTTTATTTATTTGCTTTGCGCTGCTCCGTACTAGCTTCCGCACTCGTTGAGACCCCCCTCTCTCCCAGCGGCCAAACACGACCCCCCCCCTGTTAGGGAATCCCAACAATGATGTGCCCTGTCGTGCTTCAGCTGTGCACGTCGAATTACGTGTGCTCTGTGTAGTGCGACCAAACGTGTGTGATTTTACGCCTGCTAATTTTATTACTCCGAAAACGTTTCCCTTTTGATAACGATTTTTCATGTTCCCTTGTAGAAACCTGCTAGATAGATTTTTCTTTTCCTCCACAAATTGTGCTATATGAGTATACATTCTTAACCTCCGCTTTCACCTACTCTAAACTACTTTGGACTCACAGTGGTGTGCGTGTAAGGGTATTATGTTATTTAGGATAGGAGTGTAATGAACAACTCATGAACGGATTTTTATGATTAACCATAGCTTCGATGTTCATGATTTTGTTTCGATGCGCGTATTTAACGCTTCTTTGGTGGTCGTCGATCGCGGAATCTGTAGACGCGGTTTTCCGTTATCCACTGGTCCGTTAGAAGAACGGTTATCGATCCATAATAAATCATATTCATCCAAAATGCAAACCACCAACATTTGGCAAAGACTCCGTCGCCGATTGCCTCAGTTATTTGACGATTTGTTTCTTTTGCACCATAGGTGGCATTCATGTAGACGAATCGGCTGAAATAGATCAGCCATGCTATGCAACAACGGAAATCTAGTACATCTTCCCATTCGTTCGATAAAGGTCGGGGTGCGGTCCATTCGGTAACATTTTTCCATCCACACGATTCTAACTCGTAATCCGTTCCGCAAATCTGACAATTTGTATTGTGAGTAATTTCAACCCACTTTTCGAGACAAGCTGAGTGAGTTCTGGCGACACTTCCCTTGCAGTTGCATGGACAAATTAGTTTGGAAACTTCTTGGTTGTCATCGAGACATATCCTGCAGAGCGCTACGTCAGTTGCCGTGGAAGTAGTCGTCGATGGTCCGGCGTTTTCAGCCGGAGTTGAGAACATGGAATTTGTCTCCGAAGTGGGTTGCTCTTCTGCGAGAATCATCCTTGGGTGAGAGCGATACTGGTGAGCGTAGTGAGAGAAGTGAACCACACCAATCTGTCTTCGCAGAAATGATTTCGTTTGATACTGCGTTTTTAGAAGTATTTCTTGAAAACAAGATACTCCACGGCATGCATTCATGAGCAGACAGCAGAATGATAATTGTAGTTTAGGGTATTCGAGTCGCGTTACTGTGTGCAATGGTAATATTTCCAGCTAGTTAACAGTACTTTTTGGTATGCAATCAGCTAGGTCACGTTCATACTTTCAGACTTTCTGAGTTAGCGAATTAGGCGATTTGAGGTTGTGAGACGAGTAAGAATAGGTTTCGACGGTTGCGGATACTGAGCGATCCGCCTTCTCAGGAGACTCAGCGTTTCCGGCGATTGAGCGCCAAAGGCTGATGAGCTGGGATTGCAGAGGTACGACGATACGGTCATCTCCTGAAACGCCAGATCGCCGAGTCTCTCAATCGCCGGATCGCTCAAACTTTCATATCGCGCGCGAAGGGGTAGACAAGTGTCGATCGATACCCATTCACTCATTTGGCGCGAAATCACCGGAAACGCTGAGTCTACCGAATTGCCGTATCACGCAGTTCCGCGATCGCCAGATCGCCATCTAACTCCCTCGTTCGGTAATCTCTGAGACGACCGAGTCTCCCCAATACTCCAATCTCCTCAGTCGAAAAGTAGGGTGGGCTAACCCATTTTCTTCAAACTTCATCGAATGCTGTTCCCTTAGCCCCCACGCTTGAATAGGACATGGTCCTTCCTTGTGAAAGTAGCCGACCCAAGCTAGAGAATGTCCCACTTTCGCTAATCCACAGCCCGCTACAGCCGCTGAAAATCCTAGTTAAAACGCCCGCCAAGTTGGAACGCCCACTTGCTATATGCCCTCTGACCGAGGGCCGCTTGCTCTTTGTTGGGACGGCGGCTTTAATCGGAAAGTGCATGTCCTTTTTGACGGCGCTGGTGCCAATGAGTAACTCTGCTCTCTTTCATTACATTTTATTCATTAGGAACACATTCAGTCAAATGCAACCCATATCGTAGGGTAAAACACGTAAAGTCATGAGTGATGCAATTTTCGTAGTGCAAAAGCTCGAGACGCACTAAAAGATGCACGCTACCCTAAACTCGGACGCCGAGCTTTTGAAATTTTTTGTCATGAGTTTTTCGTCCGTGTTTTTTGTTGCTTTTCCGTATTCTTTCCATTGCATTGGATGATATCTACTACTACTGGGAGTGGACAACGACGATTTGAGTGGACGCAGGGGTTGCACACGAACGGCGCAGGGCGGCTGTGATCTGTCAGGGAGCAATTTGTTTGTGATGTTCTTGAGGACTTTTGCTTGGCCTTTTTTGCTGCTTTGGGGAAATACTTATTAGCTAATGTTTCATAACTGAACAGCAACTATCCATGACACTTTATTGCGGGAACTGTCTTCAATCGCGGAAAGTGTCTTTAAAGACAGCTTTGCGCTCAAAATTCGTAGCCGTCCTTCCATGTATAAGTAATCTCAAGCTTCAGTGTTACCCAAAACTTTTGTTCTCTCCTTTTCTTCTCCTACGCGTATTGTTGCTCCTAACTATCTCGTTGTACCACATCCTTAGACCGGAAGCTTTGAAGAACTGTT